TTACTCATCTCCAGATCATTCTAATCATGTTTAATGAGAAATAGTTACCCCGCAAAAACATTTAATTTTAGATACCCTTACCCAGTAGACATTGTCATTGTCTGAATTTCAAAAAATTAGGAAAACTTCCTGCTCCGACGTCAGCAAAAGACAATGGTACGAGAAGAAGTCAATAATAAAGCGATTGAACTCTCCAGAGAGTTTAGGAATGTTTTGATAAGCAGATTCATTTTCATGATTTCACAAAAAAAAGGTGTATCTTTTGAATAGGTGCGTATGAAGAGTTCTGATTAACGCGTTCTGCAAAAACCTTCTAGTGCTAGATACAAACTTGTATTGGGTTTTAAAGCCTAAAAGTTTGTTTCTCAATTTTGAATTAATTCTTAAACTAAAGATTTCAAAGGATCGGGTTTCATAACAATAACAAAAATAAACAACCATTAATTTATAACCAATTAAAGCAAATATATTCATCAATCTGCAACAAACAATATTTGAATGTGCGTGCTCGTTCACTTTTCTAGAGATTTCGAAGAAACTAAATTTTCGTTGAACGGTAAAAAAATTCCAGTTTCAGTATAGCTGATTTCACTGAGAACGCACCCTACTCTATTCGAGAACTAGCTTATCAAGCCCAAACACAAAAAAATGACAATTTATAAAAACTTTTCTCTAATTGGTCACGTATATCAACACCACATGATTCCAGCACATATTCATTCATTTTTCACAAGATTAGGAAGAGAGACAACAGCCCAGGTATTCTCTTGGGACGAGCAGGAAATAGCAAATGTTGGTAAATTGAATGATCATCGGAGAACATATGAAAAGTGCAGTTTCAGGTGTGAAAAGGATTTAGGTACAGTTTGTAAACAGTACAAGGTCATTATTACATATAACATGAGGAGGACATTGATGATCAAAGTCTGTTCCGATTAGAAAGATTGGTATTCAGTAAATCTCTGTATTTAAAAAAAGCAAGGATACTCAGGAAATTCGGGACTTCTGTTTAGTGCATACATGTGGATGGCCGGGGCCGTGTGCTGATTCANAATTTTAAAAATAAAATTGCAGTCCGCTCCCAAGTGCAGCCCATCACATTGTCAAACACATCGACCTCAAGTACAAGCATCTCATCACAACAAAAAAACAAAAAAGATTTTACAATGATGCGTCAAACGTTTTCGGTTGCTATCTTCTTGTCGATCTATGAGCTAGGAGCATTGATTACCAGAATCTTCC